AACAACTAACGCTGGGTGCTGTTGCCTCTCCGTGGCCCTGCAGGAAATCCGCAAGCGCCTCAGGACGTGGGATGTGGGCTACTTCTGGAACGACTTGTACTTGAGGGAGGTGTACATCAAGCAAATTAAGCAGCAGTGCTTGAAGGGCAAGGTACCGGCAGCCTTTGGAAGCCTGCGGTCCTGCGGGCCTGCCTTGTGCTGCGGGAGCCTTCCCCTGCTCCCACCTCCGTCTCCACCGCTTTCTCCTTGCCCTCCCGTGCGTGACAGCCTCATCCCTGGAAAGGAGAGACCACTGCGGAAGACGCTGCTCTGGACGTGCAGGATCTGTTCCTGGAGGAAAGGCAAAGGCTGGAGAGCATTGAAGAGATGCGGAACCGCTACGTAAGGCTTTGTCCGGGAGAGGCGGCCCTTGGGGCCACCCGGGCGGCTTCTCCGGCAAAGCTCGGCAGCTCTTCTCCAGAAGCCTACCTGACAGGCCGAGCAAGAGCAGCCGGCGGGCGGTGGTGGTGGTGGTGGTGGTGGTGGTGGTGGTGCGCTCAGGACAACAGAGCGCGAGGAGCTCCCTCGCTGGAGGCGCAGCATGGGTGCCGCAGGTCACCTCTGCCGCAGGGCACGTGCCAAACAGCCCCTCTGCTTGCACTCTTACTTCCGCCTGCCTCTCTTGCTCGGCAGAATTTGGGCCCTCCGGTGCCCAGGGTTCCCCATCCTCCAGACGAGCCCGGGAGACAGGAGCCGGAGGTGCAGGGCGAGCAACTGGCCTCTCGAGCGAGGAGAGTGTCAGTCCTGCTGCGGAGAGCCCAGCAAGAGTAAGCACGCCCAGCTGCGGGCGGGCAAAGGCCTCGCACGCGCCAGCGCCCAGAGCCCCACACGCGGCACCTCCTCTTTCCCGCTCCCTCAGCTCTGGCGTTGGGGCGGCATCCCCTCGCTTCTGGGCGACTCCCAAGCACCCGGCCGACACCTTCCCTCCGGCCCTCTCGCTGCTGCCCAAACGTGAAGGCCCAAAGCCCTCCGCGGGCACAAGGGGCTCCGGGTACCCAAGCGACCACCGGGGCTCCGGCTGCGGGACGGCAGCGGCAGCAGGCTTGGCAGTCTGGCGCCTGAGTCGCCCACCGCTGCCGTCCCCACGGGAGGTGCTGGGCACGCCGGAGGAGATGGGAAGCTGCGAGGTGGCATCATCAGGACCGGCCTGAGCACGGCCGGCACGATTCCTCTGATTCTCTGCTCACGCTCAGCCCCTTCCCGTCGAACTCTGCAGCCCTCAGGAGACACCTCGCCTCCTGGAAAAGAGGGACAGCTACCGCTGATCACCCGCCGCGCTCCTACGCTCTGCAGCTTCTTCACTCCCATTAAACCGTGTTTCCACATACTGTGACACTTTGTTGGAGGGGCTGTGGGGCGGGCAATTTGCAGCGTGGGTGCTTTGGAGGGGAATTAAAGGGCAGCTCAGGAGACGGGGACGGAGCACCCACTTTGTGCACACATCCAGACAGCTCTGCACGCCCAGGTGCCCACACTCGTGCGTGGTGGGGCTTCCCGTCCCCATGCTTTTGGAATCCCTCTTTAGGCAGCGGGACCCTTGCTGATGGCCCTTCATCCTGCTTGTGCGACAATCTGCCGTGCATTTGTCTCCAGCAGCCTCCTGCAGCCCCCGAGCGTCCCATCTCGGGAGCTCTCCCGGCAGAAGGGAGAGCACAAGATCAGCTGCTCTGGCTGAAACGCCCCCTCGTCCATTGTACCTCTGCTCTTCCCATGCTGTCGGCACCCGGCGAGTGCGGAGGGGCAGCGAGAGGCCTCGGGGCAGCAGGGTCGGGCTGAAGGGGTCGGCGGCGTTCGGGGCCAGACAACACCACTACTCCTCCTCCACACTCCCAGAGGCACCCCCAGGGATCCTCCCTTCCCCTTCAAATAGCAAACTGGGAAGAGACTGATCTCACCAGGGATGCTGGTGTCCAGCCAAGGCGAGAGGTGTGCTGAGGGGCCGAGCTTGGATGCCTAGGTTCGTCCCAGAGCCAGTAGACACCAGCTGTCCTCCTCCCCATGGAGGTTGTGCAGAGCCACACACCCACATGCGCATATTTGTGCATGCTGTGACTTCCTGTTCCCACACTTTTGGAAACCCCCGGGTGGCCTTGTGACGTCCCTTGCCCTTCATTTTGAGGGCATCTACCCTGGATCTTTCTCCCAGAGGAAAATTCTAGCCCACCCCACTTGGCTCCATGCAAAATCTCAGCCCAAGACGTCCTCTGCGAGCCGGATAGGGCAGGCAGAGCTGGACGGGGAGCCACACTTCCATTCCCTCTCCTCCTCTGCAGGGTTTCATTTCAGGGGCTTTCCACCTTCCCTTTCCTCCTTTTCCTCCCTGTGCCTTGGCTTTGGCCCTTTGCTCTCCTCGGACTGGGCTGGAGACACTTGATGTGTCTGAAGCCCTCAGGCGTGCATTGCCAGTTTTACTTTTCCTTCAAACCCTTTGGCTTCTGCCACACGCAGGGAGGAGCAAAAATTTCAAGGAGTTGCTGGGGGTGTGTGAATGCACCTGAAATAGAGCTATTACTTGGGAATTTCGTGAGCCCAGGGTAAATTATTCTGCACCCAGAGCACATATGGCAGGAGGAAACACCGCCACTAGAGGGAAGTTCAGGCCTGCTTTAAACAAAATGGTAGAAATAGGGACCTAGACTGGTGTGGATAGCAGTGCGAAAATTAAATGCAATATGCAGTATGCTCACATGCTCTTTTTTTTTACCAAGCATGCAAGAAAACATGGAGTAAATTAAGTTTAAAATTTAAAAGTTACCTTAGCAATGAGGCATTTCTCTTTCATCAAAGTGTCACAGTCCCATGGGAGGCTTTATTTTATTAATGTGTTTGAAAGAAAATTATTGTACACCTCCTGTGGACTTCTGCAATTGTTTGGAAATAGAGATAGTTTGTCCCAAAGCTGTGTCTTGACTGTCTCTCACCTGCACAGGTGCTCCTGTAGGGAAGGAGTACTTGGCTTGACCCTGTAGTGGAGGGACTGGAGATCCAATTGGATTTTCTGGAGCAGGAAAAATAATCTCAAGCTGCAATATCCCTTGAACTCACTGGAGAGCAGAGCAAAGACAGAAGCTGTTGCATCTACGCTGAAAGTCCATGCAGGAAACCTAAAAGTCTTGCTTCTTACTGGGGTTTGTTTTTGGCTCAGACACTATAAAAACTCAGGGAAGTGGATAAGGACTGAGGAGGAAAGTAGAGGACATCAGGAGAGCTGGATTGTGGATGGAGGAGTGTGTGGCACTGTCTTGACATGCTTGCGAGTATTGCCGTGGCATCTTGGCTGTTGTGGCATCCTCACCTACCGAGTGTGAATCTTTTTCAGCTTTGATACTAGACAATCGCTTTTTTGTTTGTTTGCCCTCTTCTTCCCATTCAGAGTTTAGCCTTTTGTTCTTTCCCGGTGCAAGCTCAGGATTACTCATCCCTCTGTAAGCACAATCGCAGGGTGCTGAGACAGAAAGGACAGTTTAGGTCTGGAAGTGAGCCAGAAAGGACCTGAAAAGCCAAAAAAAGGGGCTATAGCTCTCATGAGAGTGAAAAGTGGTGAGCAGAGGCAGATTAGGGAGCCTCAAGTCTCTTCCTGGAGCAGATAAACATGTGCAAACACTCCTTTGGACCCACAGCTGTGCATTAGGTGTGCACCTGGCCTACAAAGCATCCATCAGAACCGGAATTGGTTGCTTTTAGCCCCAAAATATGGAGCTGAGCGTTCACCACCTGAAGTAACAGATATGCAATGGTGTCCGAGCTCTTATCCCACAGGAAGAAAGAGTTAGCCTGGTTTGAGTCGTGGGGGCACGTTTATCCCCCTCTCCTGGCCATGCGCTCCCTGACCTTGACTCCTGCACGGAGGCTGCTCACTTGGCAGCAGCGTCCCAGTGTGCAATTTACAGAGCTGGGAGGAGGACGCAGCTCTTTGCGACCAGCACAAATCGGAGCAGTCAGAGATCTCCTGTGCTGCACTAGTGTGGGAAACGGGACAGTGGGATGCAGACCCTCAAGGTACAGGGGATGCCAGAACGGCTGGGCAACGGCGGGGTGCAAGCTGGCAACACCTCTGTGCTGCGATTCCTGGGTCTGAACCACCCAGGGCTGTTTTGGGGTGGGATTTTAAGCACCTTGGGAGAGGAAAAAATGATCAAAGAGTGTGTCGCAAGTTCCTTTCAACAGTTTGGTTGGTCTTAGGCTTTTTTCCTGGTTTTACCCTAGTCGTCTTGATTGTCAGAAGAGCTAAAATCTCTCCCCCCAAAATGACTTTTTTCTAATATGGTTTCACATGCTTTTTCATTTTCATATCAGCTAATCCAAGGGTAGGGAAGCACCAAAAATAATTTAAACGCTTAAAAAATGAGCTTATTAATACCTCAGATAATAGAACTTCCTGTACTGCCATATTGCACTCATTTTCATTTCTCTTCTTGGCCTTTCTCTCATTGTTAGCCTCCCCCAGACCAGTTAAAAATTAGACATATGTGTAAATATGACCAGGAGTGTTTTCACCCTGGTGTTCAGAGGAAGATGCTGTGTCTGCGTACAGACGCGGCTGTACTGGAAAGGGGATTGCCATTAGGTTGAGAAATGGAGAAATGGAGTTCAGAGGGAGACCATCCCTAAAACTCTTTCTTTTTTTTCTTTTCTGGGAACTCTCCCAGAAATTTGCATGTGAACTAAACAGACAAGGATCTCTATGCTCTCTGTGCATAGAAGCTTGTGTTTCTGAGGAAATAGTTCATTTTTATATTCCGCTGTTCCTTCAGTGTAGTTCATGGACTGAACCTCCTCCCTTCTCAGTTATCATGTCTCCTAGACTGCCGTCCTGGCTAAAGCATCAGGTTTTGCAAAATAATTGAAAATTGGAGCAATGGGAGATACTCATACCTTGTGTGAATCTGCCGATGGGGAAAGGCTTCTTCCTTTTTCCAAGTCAGTATTTCCATCAGAGATAGAGCAAGGCTCAGACCTGGATAATATTCTTTGGTTTCACATACAGCTTTGGCTTGGTGCTGCCCTCCTCTTCCTCAGCCAGGGAGGAGTCTGGGCCAACAGAGCTGATGATGGCCCCCTAGCCCTGATGAAAATGATGGGAAGGAAGCCTTTCTCTCTCCCAGGTAAGTTTTAGTTTCATTCTTGCTCTCTGAAGAGTTTCTCTTCAGTGTATTAAAGACACAGCATAAGGTGATTTAAGGAAAGGAAGAAGTCTCCTCTTCCTACCTGTTTTTCTGATTTTAGCAGAAATGCCTGTCTTGGCATAATCCCCGCAAAAGAGAGAAGAGTTGTCAGAGGTCTCAATTTTTGTGTTGCAATCTGTGCTGGTGCAAAGTGAGCTCTGGATATTGGCCAGCAGCTCTCCAGACAAGGGTTTCTGTGCAGCTGCCCATCATGCAAAATGCTTCATGCTCAGCAAGGCTGTTGCAGCAGTTTTGCATCTGGAGGGAGGGCAAGGAAACCACGGTCGGGTCTTCTTATGCTTACAAAACTCCACCTTTCTTGTGCCCGCAGGCTTGAGCCAAACTGGCAGCCATGCCGCCCGGAGAAAACGTGAAAAGCAGCCTTCTACATATCTAAAGTGGGTGGATTTTGAAGGAAAACTGCCTGCCTATGCTGTGTCCAACTGGAATGATTACGCCAAAAGGTTGGAGTATATCTGCTCGACGCCGCAGAGCGAGTGCAACACTGGAGTGTATGTCCCCAGCCGGGGTGAATTCTGCTTTTTCCCATACGGAGGACGTGAGCGGAAAGTCTCCACATTTAAGGTGCTGGTAAATGAAGGTAACTTTGAAGCACTGGAGTGGGTGGATGCTTCCTTCGGTGCCGTTCCTGAAAATGCCGTGGAGGGCTGCCCCAAGGTGGACGTCTTTGTTGGCAGGAACCAGTATGGCTTGGGGAAAATCCCGAAGATACACAGAGCTTTCTTCGTTGTCATTGACAGTGAGGAGGTGTGGTACAAGTGGTACCAGGTCCTGACTGTGAAGAAAGGCTCTGCAGACGTAACCATCTCTGACGTCCGCTACAACATGAGCAGAGCAGTAGAAAGTCAGGAAGACATAACTCTAACGACAGCCACTGTGAGGAATGATGGCTGCCAAAGGGTGAAGAAAACTGTCACCCTTGAGGGGGCAGCTGAGACGGAGCATGACTGGAAGGCTGACCAGGTGCTTTTAGCTGATGTGCGGGGCATATTGCGTGCTGGTGTCCTGGCATTCAATGGGACGGGGTGGGAGGTTTCCACCTGCATCAATGTCACTTGGATCGGGGGAGCCAGCACCAGCAGGTACACCATCCACACCCGCACAGCAGAGGTGGAGGTGATGCCCAAGACGGCGTGCACTGTGGCCTTGGAGGGACGCCGCATGACCGCCTGTGTCCCCTTCATTGCCCAGCTGACCCGTGACTTTGGTGATGGCGAGCTGCACCACACAAATGTGATGGGGCTCAGTGAGAGCCGGGAGGTCACGGATGTGAGGGTTGACATGAAGCAATGTTGGCCCATCCCCAACGCCCCACTGTGCCAAGCATAGTGTGCGCGGATGCCAGGGAAGGTGGGGGCCCACTGTCAGTGCATGCAGAGGAAAGAAAAGCATCTCTTGCAGCATTGCACGTGGTCATGACCATGCTCCTGGCAGCCCAATAGCCAGGATCTTGCAAGAGGAGGGGTTTGGTGCATGCTTTGCTTTTGTCTCTCTCTGCAATAACCTTTGCCATGTGTCTGTCTCCAAAATGGCATGGTATCCTGCTTCAAGACCTGTCGGCACCTGAGCCTGGATGCACATAATTTCCAGAAATGGTTCCCATGATGCATTTTCACTTCTTCCCCTTGTGCATTGTGAAAAATGTTTGCAAATCAAAACGAATAAAATCAGCTCTTTCATCCACACTGCCTGACTGAAAGAATCCTGTAATGATTTGTACTCCACATGCATTGGTTTTCTCTTCCTTTTTTTTTTTTTTTCTCTTGAATTCATCTTTTGCAGTACCCTTCACAGGCTGCCTGGGAGGTTTGGTGTCCACCAAGCCCTTTCTGTTTGATAGCGATGGCCAGATCATTATTTGTCTTAGTAAGGAGTCAGCCATGAGGGCCCTGTATGCAATGCCCCATCTACATCTATGTTACACCTTGTCCCTTTGTGGTCAGATGTAAATAGAGGGACAATAGAGTGAAAAAGCTTCAAGTAAAAATGCATGCCTTAAACCAGAGAGAAGGAGCGGCGAAGATGCCTTGCATGGCTGAAGGCCCAGAGAAATTACTGGCTGGATTGCCAAGACCAAATCGGAAATGAATGGCAAACCTCCCAGGTCCCTGGGTAGAGAACCTCGCTGTGACTTCAGGTCTCGCAGGACTGAGCAATTTAGCACAGTTCGCTGTGAAAAGCTCCCTCTGATCAACATGAAAGTTTGTGTCTTTGTCTTCCCCTTGTATTGCCTAGTGTTTCATGCTATGCTCTCTGCAGCAAGCTTTAAAGTGTCCCCCCTCACCATGCCTCTCCTGCAGCCCCAGAGGTCTGCCCTCACTGAGAGCATCCTAGCCTGGCCTTGGAGGTATTTGCCGGGCTCAAGTGTGCAAGGCAGACTAAGGGCACGCTGCCCTCCTTTGTGCTCCCTAAGGCTTTAAAGGCCTGTAGAGGTTCAAGAGTCTTTTGATTGCCTCATTTCCCCACAATGTTGGCATGAAGCTGCACTGCACCACGCATCCTCCATGGGATGGGGCAGCTTCTGCCTGGAGGCTGCCAACCTGTGCGCAGCGCTCCTAGACAGCACAGGCATCTTCCTCCAAGCTTGCTGTTAGGTGGGGAGCCTGTGGAGAGGTTTCTGGGGCTTTTACACATTAAAGCATGAAGATGTGCTGTGTGGGAGTCGGAAGACTGTCTGGGAGAGCCAAGGGCCAAATTGTCTTTTGTTGGGAAGCACCTCTGGGCTTGCAGAAACACGCTGCAGGCCTTTGTGCATGCCTGGCTCAGGTTACAAGGCTTTGGCCCCAGGGAAGACCCTGTTTGATGTGGGAGGCTGCTCTCATTTCCCCTCCCTGCACACTAGCACCCGCCAGCGCTTTCCACTCACGCTTGTGACGTGCCTCTGAGCTCAGGCTCCCACCTGAAATAGCAACGCTGTGGCCCGGAGATGCACAAGACAGATGAGTCCACCAAGGGGAGTGGGGCTGACAATCAGAGCGTGCTGTGCCCGTTGCCCGGCGTGCATCTTCCCAGGCCAATGGGAGCGATACTGCTGGGAGCAGAATTTGGTGCCTGGAGCGGAGCACCCACCATGAGGCCAGCACTGGGCATCATGCTGCTTGGTGAGTGCTTGGCCTGGCTCTCCAAGACCCCAGAAGGGAGCAGGGACGCTGCTGTCCATGTCCAGGGGGATGGCTCTAGATGGCTCTGAACTCCTTCTTGTGACTTGCAGCTCTGCATGCCGCCTGCCAGGAGCTCTGCACGGCGCCAGGTCAGTGCCCCTGCTTCCTTCTGCCCTGGCTCTCCCTGGGCCCCCCTGGGATGTCCAGCCCTGGCCTTTCCCCACATGCTCGGGTGCTTTATGGCTCTGGTGTGAAACATGCAAGGCTCAGGGCACTGAGTCCCTCCCCAGCCCCATGAGTGCAGCCATGGCCATGTCACAGCAGCAGCACCTTTGCATTGGGGTCTTCCTACTGCATGGCTACAAGGTCCTGTGCCTACAAATACCCCTATCTCCCCTTGTGCAGTGAAGGGAGCAGTGGGAGAAAGCCCCCATGCAGAGGGAGATCTGTCCCCTGGTGTTCCCACTGTGCTGCGAGGACAGCAGGGAGGTGGCACCATCCTCCCACAACCGGCCTACTCTGGCAGCCAGGACAGATGGGTCCACCCCTCTCCCTGCTCCCCCTCCCAGGTGCTCTTCCTGCCCCCCAAATATTCCTGAGCCCCCCGGCTGCCCGGCCAGGGGACTCAGTGCTGCTCCAGTGCGTCGTCAACTCCAAGGTGCCCGTGGTCCGTGTCGTCTTCTGCCGCGATGGGCAGGCACTGGCATCCCAAAGGGGCTTGGATGGCCAGCTCATCTATGACTATGTTCAGTGGGTGTCCGACGGCAGCTCCATGAATTACTCCTGCAAGTATGAGAGCCGGGGTGAGCAGGACCGAATGATGAAGTCACAGCTCAGTCGCGCTGTGCAGCTGCGCATGGAAGGTAAAGGGGGCTGGTGGGGTAAACTGAGAGGAAGTTGAGTGAATACACAACTTGATACAAAAGAAAGAAGTTAAAAAAAGATACTGGGAGTGATTTGGGGGTGGGTGGAGGAACAAGAGCAACTCACATGGGGTTTGGGGGCTCTATACCCACTCCCCATCCACCCCACAGGCCAGTGCCTTGTGCTGAGCCCAAACCTGTCCATACCAGGCTCTGCAGTCTCCTCCATGGGTCTCCTCATGCATCGCAGCCCCAAACCCCTGTGTGGGGTTCCCTGGGGCTGAGGAGAGCATTCCTGGCTCTTAGTCCTGGGAGGGAGAGCAGAGCCCCAGTCCCACATTGGATCTGTCATGTTTTCCACCTAGGTGTTGACTCCTGAGGGAACGACCAGCCTTCCCGAGGTGCGTGATTTGTATTTCATTTATTTCCATGCACTGTGGCATTGCAGAGTTCGGGTATCAGGATGTGGTGATGCGGGCATGCATGGTTCCTGGCAGCAGAGCTCACACCCCACAGCGGGGCTTTGGCTCATCCTGAGCATCTCTTTCTCTTTGCACCCCAAGCATTGCGTGGCTGTCCTGGGGCTCTGCGCCAGACACTGCCCGATGGGATTGGAGATTTCCATATCTACCCCAATTACCTGCTACAGACTGGCTCATGCTACTGCCAGACCTCCCTGCTCTTTGCTACAGCTCCCTCCATACCTGTCCCAAGTACCTGTGTTTGCTCTGAGCATGGGCGATGGGACTGCGTGCACAAGAAAGGCCTGAGGCACTGCTCCTTCCTGATATTTACCCCACCTTTTGTGGAGGAAAAGAGGGCTGGCTTTGGAGAATTTGACTTGCCAATCATCTCTTTTTCAGGCCTTCAGCTGGCACTGCCCCTGGGCATTGCAGTCCCCTGTCTTCTGGTTCTGGCTGTGCTTGGTGTTCTCCTGGGGAGAAAAGGTGACACAGTGCTTTGGGGTTTCTCTTTGGAATGGGGGCAGAGGTCCTCACTCCGTCCCTGGCCCCCTGCACCCACACACTTGTGCTGAGCATCACGCAAGGAGGAACTGCACGCGTTGTCAACCAGCATGCGCTCCAAAGGCTGGTTGTGTCTTCACCGAACAGAGCTGGCCTCTGCCCCCTCTCCCCATCCCACATTTGCTTCTTCTGCCTCTCCAGGCTATAGCTACTTCTCTAATGAAGACACCACTTTTCTCCTTTTTCTTTTCTTTTCTTTTTTTCCTAACAGTGTCCACCCTCAGGACTGAGAGGTAGGTCCATTCATGGAGGTGTTGGGGGTGACGGAGGGGATGCACAGACTCCAGGGGCATAAATCTATCCCAGACAAGGCTTCTCAGGGCTGAATGTGGAGGTGGGGAGAGTTTTGGAGGTGTTTAGGAGGGGGATAAACCACCTGTTTCTGCCTCTGGATGCAGAGGGCAGGCTGGGGTGAGTGCATTCCCAGTGCTTTCTGTTGTTTCTTGCAGGAAGCAGGGTCAGAGCAGAGCTGGGGACCCTTCTGAAGATGCTCTGCACTGTAAGAGCCCTGGGGCACAGGGGAGCTGGGGGAGGTGATGATTTGGGGATCAACAGGCAAAGGGGAAGAGGGCTGGGAGTCACGTGGTGCTATGGGGAAAGGCAAACAGGGGTGCTCTTGAGGGACCTGGCTGGCGAAGCCGTTCTACACATGCATGTTGCAAGGAGAGATGCTTAGCTGAGAAATAAGCATCCAAAAATGATTCGTCAGAGGGTTTGCACCGAGGCTTGCTTTTGCACTGGAGCTTGCTTTTGCATCATGCCCTCTTCATGGCAGGGCTGTCTGGTTGGGTGCAGGTCCCCTTGTACAAGGGGGAACTTGGTGGGACAGTTTGATCCCTGTGGCCTGAGGAGAGGGGCTGATGAGGTGGTTTCTCCCTGGAGCCCTCTTGATGCTGAGGACTGTTTCTCTCCACAGATGCCTCAGTGATTGCAAGGGGACATCCCCAGGTGAGTCTTGGATGACAGTGACCGAAAGAGAAGGGTGCTCCCAGGCTGGGTCTGTGCTGCTGCCCCGACATGTAGCCGGAGGTGCAATTACTGTATTGCCAATAATGCTGCCAGAAGGGCCAAGGAGAGTGGAGGAGATCTGACGGTCGCTTAGAAAATCTCCTGGCAAGGCCCATAGCATGGAGAGCAAAGTCTCTGTCCTTCCCATCTTGGGGGTCCATGACCCCACATAGGGTTTGTCCCCACAAGCACCCATGCACGTGTGCTGCGGGGAGCAGGGCAGTGCCGCTTTGAGCCTTTTGGTGGTTTTAGCCATTACAGCCCCGGAGAGAAGGCACCACAGTGTATGCCAACATCATGCCACTGAGGGAGTGACCATACTAGCTTGCCAGGACCATGCTGCAGCACGGGAAAACAGCAAGGCGAGGAAGGACTGCGGCCTGTTGCTGTGCAAGACCGAAAGCTCAGTCCAGCCTGGTGGCATCTGACTCACAACACTGAGCAAGCCGAGCTGCCTCTGCTTCTAAACTGCTGTGCATCTTGGGTCTCTGCACAGGTTTTGTGCAGGAAGGGAGCCGTTCTTCACCTTTACATCATATTTGATGTAGGGTCTTAAGTGGGAGTGTGCACCACTGCTACTGGTGCAGTTTTGTTTATCCTTCAAATGCTGAGAAGCCCCAAAGGCTTCCGAGCCTGCCAGCTTGTCCTTTCAGGTGCTTTGCTTAGAGCTCAGATACTGCCCTGCAAG